CGGAAAGCCTTCCAGGCACGCACACTCTGCATGCTCCATGTGCAGCGATAGCTCGGGGAGCCACAAGCATCATGTTGGGGCGAAATCTTAGCAGCATCCATCAACGGGAATGGTCAGTCGGGGTTCGCACTGCGTGCTTCTGTATGGAGCACGTTGATTCGGCTTGACATGTCTTTAAGGAGTGTGCGATCGGAAAGAAGCGGCCGCCCTGGCACTTATGCTCTCATGCTTGGGCTAGCACATAGCAGCTATGTGACATCGACATGGGACAGGATTTCAGGAGAACATCCACAAGCATCTGGAGGAACAAGCTGGTAGGTGCAAGGGAGATGTCAAGCGTTAGCTTGCCTCATGTGGAACTAGCAACGAACGGCACACGGCAACATGCTGCGAGAGCTTGCGAGTCCGTCGCATCCCTCACGAATAGTGCGAATGAGTGTGTACACATTATGCACTGTCGCCGCCCATGAGCATGCCGCCCCCATCTGCCCGGATGCTTCGGAGACCAACACAAGTCCTTAAGCCCATCATTCTGGGCCTGCATGGTGGGTGCACTTGCCCCAAGCGCTCGCCCCCGTTATCCCCCGTTCGTGAGCGCCCACATCGAGCATTTCAGCCAGCCAGAAGAAACAGAGATTGCAGAGGTCACTGGCTCCGGCTCACGCCTCTGTCAAAGCCACACATGTGCATCCCGCCACACGCAGGTTCCAGATAAAACAGGTGAGCACCCACATCGAGCACTCCGGCTCCCGCGGTTGTTAACAAAACACATTGGCATTCCGCGTTAACAAAACAGATTGGCATTCCGTGTACTCGCAGATGGCCTGCTTTGTGCAGCATTCATGTCCCTGAGCGTGCTGCAGTGCCTTGCAGGTCTGCATGAAGGGCCACACTCACCCCAATGTTGCGCGTTCGTCCCAGACCAGATTGGTGAGCCACATCGAACAACGAAGCCAGCGAAAAGAGACACAAATTGAAGAGATCACTGGCTCTGGCTCCCGCCTTTGTCAAATCCCTGCATCCGCGCCGTGCACGTAAAGAACATGCCCCGCCCAGCTGCCCGGATGCTTCGGAGACCAGCAAGAGTGCTGAATCGCGTCATATTCTGAGCCTGCAGGCAGGATGCGCTTGCCCCAAGGGCACGCAGCCGTTCCAGATGAAACTGGTGAGCGCCCACATCGAGCAACGGAGCCAGTCTAGAGAAACAGAAATTGAAGAGGTCACGGGCTCCGGCCACTTCTTTCAGAAAAGCAAATTCGCATCCCGTCGACTTGCAGATGGTTTGCTTGCAATGCAGGCGTGGCTGCCTCGTGCACCATGGACTTCCCTTTAGCACGTCGCCCTCCCACAAGGTCATGAATGCAACGCGTTGTGGGTCTGCATGGAGGGCGCGTTGGTCCCAGACCAGATTGGTGAGCCGCACGGAGCAACGAAACCAGCCAGGGGTAGGAGTGAGGCTCGGACTTGCAAGCGATGCAGTTGATGTGATCGGCTTGGTATCCCACCTCTCTCAAATCCAGAGAGATCTGCATCAAATTGACTCAGGCATGGCCCTTGCACCCTTTTGCTCTACACGGTGTGGCTGCCCTGGCGGTGAACATGCTGTGCGAGCTGCATGGACAAGAGCTCGCTGCGTAGCTTAAACTCGCAGCTTGGAAAGCGTTGAGGCTGCAACGGCGAACTCCCCAAAGCCCAAACCCCAAACCCTAACGGCCCTGGCCCTCAGCCCTAAACCCTAAGCCCTAATCTGCACTTTGCATGGCAAGCAGCAGCTTTGACGTCCCAAGCGGCAGACACGCAGCAAGTGGAAGTCAAGCAAACTGTCTACTGAGTGCGGAGGGGGTGGCACTGCAGCACATGAGTTAAGGCGGTTTAGGGTTCAGAGAGTGTTTGGGGTTATGTGGCCACGGGTGGCAAGGCCATCGTGGGACTTTGTTCGGGTGACTGCGAGGGTGTTTGACTCTAACCGAGGAGCCATCACAACATGTCTAAACCCTAAACCCCAAACCCTAAACCCTAAACCCTAAACCCTAAACCCTAACTTTTCACTAGGTAATTGGCTTGAGGAGCCTCTATTGCGCCATATAGGAGGCTCCGCTTTGGGGCCGTTCCTCTTGGGACCCAGAGTGGGCCCTTATTCCCATTACTTCAGCGTTTAGGGTTTAGGGCTACGAGGACCGAGAGAGTAGGCCCTCGTTGTCTTGTTTTAGGGTTCAGGTTCCCTTAGCCCTTTTAAACCAAAAAGGGTGCACTTGCTATTCTTGGGTTACTCTTGGGCTTAGCATCTCATTCTCGGAAGTTTGCCTTTCAGCTTCTCTCGATCTCGATTTGGCTTCGCCTAGCCTCCAATGGTCATGTCTCCAGCAGCCTTTCTTGGCTGGCTCAGGCCGCCCAATGCCGAAGCGTCGGACACTCTGCATGCTCCATGTGCTGTGATAGCCCGGAGAGGAGGAAGCTGGTAGGTGCAAGGGAGATGTCAAGTGTGAATGGCACACGGCAACATGCTGTGAGAGCTTGCGAGCTCGTCGCATCTCTCACGAAGAATGCGAATGAGTGTGTACACATGATGCACTGTCGCCACCCATGAGCATGCCGCCCCCAGCTGCCCGGATGCTTCGGAGACTAGCAAGGAAAGTGTTCTCTCCTTTGCAGCCCTGAGAGTCGGAGCCAGCAAGCCGCACTTGCGTCTGCATGCCCTTCTTTGTGTCTTCCGCTGCCAGAAGACAGCCGTCCAGAGGCGAAAGCGTGCTCGCAACCTGGGTTTCCTGTCATCAGCTGCACCTTCGGCTGTTTTGATGAGTTGCAGCAGAGACAGGGATGTCCAAGTATCCAATCATTCTTAGCACTCAAAATGGTCGCGTCCCCCCCCCCCCCCTGCCGCCTCGAGCTGATCAAGTGCACCCTCGGGGCCCTAAAGCCTTAGCCCTAAGACCTAGGACCTATGGCCTAAAGGGCCCCAATCCTAAAGCTTGGACCTGGAGACCAGAATCAGTGTGGCTTGTCTGCTTGGCGGGTGGCAAAAAAGAGACCAGAATCCGTAAGCTGCAAGCCCTGCGGTTTGGCACTACGCATTGAACTTTCAACCCTAAACCCGAGAGTAGGCTTTCTGCTGAGTCTAGTGACGAGTGGCACCAACGAGACGGTTTTCCAGTCGAGTTGACACGAACTTGAAACCTAGACCGTGGTGAGACCGCTGTCTGACTTCTTGTCTCGAACTTTAGCAAGGCACCATTATCCGAAGTGCCGTTAAGAGCCGTTAAGGGCAGCTGAGACATGCTCAGGTTGATATCACTCGCAGTGCCAAAGCACAAGCACCGCCAAAACAAGCACGGCGCGGCTTGACAATCTCGAGTCCTGCTAAAAAAACCCGAAAGCATCCTCGTCCATACACAGCTCCAGGCCACGACACGGCTTGACATCCTGTTAGCAGTCGCCCCGGCGTGACAAAGAGCTCGTCGTACATCAAGCCGGATGTAGAAGTTCCTCGATGCTCTGCAGAGGCCCCGAAGCACTTGAGAGCCTCCGCGAACCCCCCTCGCACAGCCATCGTGGGAAGCTCGTTTCTCACGATGAAGTCAACCCGATCCCACTCCTGGCTAGCCAGATGAGGATCATTGACAGGAAGCATGTCGATGCAGTCGCTTGTTTCCAGCAGTTCGCGGCGTGAAAAAGGTTCGCTTGGCGTGTACAGAACCAGTAGGCTTCGGGCTGGCACTTGAGATCGTGAAAGCTGTGAACTTCTATCATCACATATCGCAGAACTGTTGAATAATCCTCGTTAGAACCATTTGCGTATCTTCCTTTCTTTGTTATTCTCGCGCGGTCCGCCTCGAAGAGGTGTGAGGGAGTAGATTCTTGAAGCACTTCGAGTACATCATGTCTTTTCTACACTAAACTGAATGGCTTTAGGTTTTAGGGTTTCGGGCTAGGGTTTAGGGTTTAGGGTTTAGGGTTTAGGGTTTAGGGTTTAGGGTTTAGGGGTTTAGGGGTTTAGGGTTTAGGGGCTTAGGGGTTTAGGGGAGCGCCTCCTTGGAGCCATGCTTGCTGTGTCGCTGCATTCGAACAGCGAGGCGTGCTGGCTCCTTGCGGTGTTGACTACTGAGACTACTGGCACTGTGCGTCGGGTTTAGGGTTTAGGGTTTAGGGTTTAGGGTTTAGGGTTTAGGGTTTAGGGTTTAGGGGCAGACTTTCGGGTTTAGGGTTTAGGGCTTGGGGCTCATGGTAAAGGGTTTAGGGTGTAGGACTGAGGCCACAAGCAAGCTATCACGGGGATCCGTGAAGCAAAAAAGGGCCTCAGTCCTGGCATGAAGCAGTTTCCGGGTTCAATAAAGGGACTACTTGGGGGTTCATGGTACCTATTAACAAAGTAGAACTTTACTTATAGCCCACTTATAAGCCCCTTAAGTGCCCTTATATGGTTGTAAGTTCAGCTTGTAAGTGCAGTCATAATTGGTTAATAAGTACCATGAACCTCCAAGTAGGGGTATTTTGGTCATGGCTTCAGTTGACGGTCGCACCCCGCCTGTGAGACTGAGACCTGAAAACCAACAACTACCCCCAAAAAATGGCTTTGTGGTAGGGAACTTAAATTCAAGTGACAGAAAGGAAATGAGTTTTTGGCCAGACTATGCCCGAAACCCTAATCCGTAGCTTAACTTTTGTAGCAAAAGCCATCTGATCCCTAGCTATACTACCTAGCCCCCCAAGCACAAAACCCTGAACCCTCGCAAGCCCTGAAAAGACCTACTTGCAGGAGTTGGCAAACCCCCAGTCGTGAGGCACAAGTTATTGCCGCGCTTGCGGCGGCCTCTGCCCAGGAGATCAACGTGGCGCGCTGAGCCACACAAGGAACTGCAATGAAATGAAAGCATTGGGATGTTCCCCCTTTTTCTAGCAGTCCTTAATACGAATCATGATAGGGGGTACCATAAAATCCCGTCTAAGGACTGATAGTAAAAGGGTGAACATCCCAAGGACAGCATTTCCTAGGGTTTGGAAGTATGCCTGCTGCACCTGACCACCCAAACACGAAACCCTCAATGGCTCAAGTTCTCTTTCTTTCAAAGCAAGACAAAAGCCGTGGTCCTCGTGGTGAACTCAAGATGATGTGCGCCATGACTCGCCTCTTGCTTGTGCCGCTCGTCGCCGTCTTGGCGGAGGTCCCTAAGCCCTAAACCCCATGAACCCTAACACTAAACCCTAGCCCTAAATCCTAGAAACCCTAACCCCAAACCCTGAACTCCAAACCTATAACCCCTAAACCCGAAACCCTATCAACCCCAGCCCTACTCCCGAAACCCTATAAACCCTTACCCTAAACCCCAAACCCGAAACCCTATAAACCCTAAACCCTAAACCCCGAAGGTGGGTCCTCCACCGCCGCTGCCCGAGGGCTCAGACAAGACAAGCCCATTCCAGGACAAGGCGGTTTAGGGTTTAGGGTTTAGGGTTTAGGGTTTAGGGTTTAGGGTTTAGGGTTTAGGGTTTAGGGTTTAGGGTAGCCATCTCTGGGCCCCATCTTGTTGGGGTCCCTTCAGAAACCCTGAGGCCTTGTTACTCCTAGGGGTTTCGCCTAAACCCTAAACCCTAAACCCTAAACCCTAAACCCTTCTCCTTTTGGGGGTCCCTTATGGGCCGCCAGGAGGTCGCCCCACCCTTTGAAGGGTTTAGGGTATGTCCCCGTTCCAGGGCCCATACTAAGGGACCATGCTACTACCCCAACCCTAAACCCTAAACCCTAAACCCCAAACCCCAAACCCCAAACCCCAAACCCCAAACCCCAAACCCCAAACCCTAAACCCTAAACCCTTTTCCTTTTCGGGGGCATCCCTGAAGGTGGTCGCACCTCTTCGGGAAGCGGCCAAGGAGTTGCAGGACTCAAGGTCTAAGGAGGGACCCTTGTAAGGGACTTTAGGGTTCTTTAGGGGTTATCTGGGGCCTACTGAGTTATACAGGGACTATTTAAGGTATGTATAGGGGCTATATACTCTAAACCTAAACCCTAAACCCTAAACCCTAAATCCTTAGCCTCTCTTACCTTATATATTTAGACCTCAAGGTCGTTCGTCGACGAGTGAACCTGATATTTTCCTAATGTTATGGGATCCAAAGTGTGGGCGAGTAGATATTCAAGCCGAAGTCACCAGCTTAACTACTGTAAACCCTAACCTCCCTTCCAGGGGTCCCTCACCCTAAGCCCTAAAACCTAAACCGTAAACCCTAAACCCTAAACCGGGGTCCCTCCTTAGACCGCTCAAAGGACGCAGGAGCAGAGCTGTTGAAGAGCATCGCGCACTCGGTCTCGGGCAGCTTAGGGTCGCCTTCAGGAAGTGCTCTTGTTTTTTTTTAAGGTTTAGGGTTTAGAGTTTAGGGTTTAAAGTTTAGGGTTTAGGGTTTAGGGTTTAGAGATTTTTCGTTTAGTATCTCAAGGGAAATGCCCGACTTGTTGCGTTGAACGGCAGAAGAGGCCAGGGCAATGAGGATGCCGCCTTGATGGAGATGGGCGTCGAGCTGCGCAAGACGCTCGGCGAGGTCGTGCCTCTGCTGCTCCAAGCTCGGGCCAACAGCTCCTTAGGGCTACCTAGGAATATGTTGTTTTTTTTTGGTACTCTATTTCCCGAGAAGCAGCAAAACATGTAATTTGTGCTTTTTGGGGTTCTCTAATTCCTAAGAAACAGCACCAAATATGTTTTTTTTCTTGCCAGGGTTCCAAGTTCAAACCCCAAACCCTAAACCCTAAACCCTAAACCCTAAAGGTTCCGAGTTCAGTCTAGGCTCAGCCGTGGACATCGACCCACGCCCCGCCGCAGCCTCGAAGGCCACGATGGCGCAGGAAGTGCTGCTCAAGCTCCAGGTCTCCTGGTTTAGGGTTTAGGGTTTAGGGTTTAGGGTTTAGGGTTTAGGGTTTAGGTTTAGGGTTTAGGGTTTGGGGTTTGGGGTTTAGGGTTTAGGGTTTAGGGTACCTAATCCTTGGTAGCCCTGTGGTACCCTTCTGCCTTTTTTGTGGGTTCCAGTTTCCCTTCTAAAGTAACCAACCCCAAGAAAGGTAATATGGGGGCCTTAATCGTTACAATAGGGTTTTGGGGGTTGTTATAGCAGAATTATAAAGGGACCACAAGGGAAAAATGTTAGCAATTCTTCGGACCCCTATATTATCCCAATTACAATGTGACCCTAAACCCTACTGGGCTGCCGAGGTCTACACCGATTGGGCTTGGCCTGTTCTGGATGGTTACTCGAAGGCGGCTTTCTCAGATGAGCCCATGCCAGAAGACATGAACATGAGAATGCAACGTGGCACAAACGGCTCCTTGACGTACTTGAGCTCCGTGCTGACCTTCGCGTGGACGGCTGCGCAGTACCAGTTCCCCGTGATTGAGGACCTCATGGCCCGGAATGACAGCAGTGGCTTCGTAGTAGAGTAGGTAACCTTTAACCTTTTTGGGTTCTTAACTTCCCTCTATAGCCTCAAAGGTTAACATTTAGTTCCTTAGGATACTGGACAACTAAGGTGGTGAAGTTCTGGTGAAGGCGGGCTGCTCGGCGAACTATGCGCAGCTTTTGGGGGACATCACGCAGGTCTTCTCCGACCTCTCCGAGTCCAAGATCTACTGCTTCTAGGACTTAAAGTCGGCCCTGATTTCCTTGTGTTTTTAGGGTTTCTGCTTCCCTTTTTATAATCCCCTTAAGACCAAAAAAGGGGTGCCCTTGCTATTCCTAGGATACTCCTGGGTCTAGTTTAGGGCCCGATCCCGAAACCCGAAACCCTAAACCTAAGGGTGCCCTTGTTATTCCTAGAGGTTGAAACCCTAAACCCGAAACCCTAAAGCCAAGCCCTTGTTATTCCTAGAGACCCGAAACCCTAAACCCTAAACCCTAAACTGGGCCTAGGCTTCCAGTCGCTCACCAACAAGACCGCCCAGCGCGAGTGCGCGATGAACTCCCTGAAGTCTCTCGACAAGGCCACTGCCCCGATGGCCCTGGAACCCTAAACCCCAAACCCCAAACCCTAAACCCTAAACCCTAAACCCCATGACCAGGTCACCGCCTCCATCGCGGAGGCGGCCAACGCCATGTGGCAGTGCTTTGGCATCTTCTGGGGCTGTTCCCAACTCATGAACTCCGCCTACAACAAGCTGTCCCAGGCTCCAATTGACCCCCCGAAATTCGGGGGCTACTTAGGGGTACTTAAGACGAATTCAGGCTATTTCAGGGGGGACCTAGGGGGTGGGGGGCCTAAACCCTAAACCCTAAACCCTAGTGTAGAGGGGCGTAGTCGAGAAGCCCATGACAGGCCTACTACTCCAGCTTCCAGATGTCGCGCTGGTGCAGCCAAGCCGTGGATGCCTCCTGTGACTGAGTAGCTGAGTGAGTACACTTTAGGGTTTAGGGTTTAGGGTTTAGGGTTTAGGGTTTAGGGTTTAGGTTTACACTTCTTGGGATACTATAACCGCCTATAGAACTAAGTAGCTGAATGAGTACACTGTACACTTTTTGGGATACCATAACCCCCTATAGAACTGAAAGTGTACACTTCTTTGGGGGCCCTCAACCCTCAACCCTCAACCCTCAACCCTCAACCCTCAACCCTCAACCCTCAACCCTAAACCCTAAACCCTAAACCCTAAACAACTCAGCAACTAAGGTGACGAGGACTACTATGCCTTCAAGGCCCTGGGAGCCCTGAGTGCAGCAAAAGGCCTCCTGCAGTCGGCCACGCAGGACGAAAGCCCTAAACCCTAAACCCTAAACCCTAAACCCTAAACCCTAAACCCTAAACCCTAAACCCTAAACCCTAAACCCTAAACCCTAAACCCTAAACCCTAAACCCTAAACCCTAAACCCTAAACCCTTCAGTCTGCCACGCAGGACTGCGACATCAAAGGGGGCACCATCATGCACCCAATCAACCCCTGGGCTGCGACTCCCTTCATGCCGCGCAAGGCTCCGGAGCCCTCCGCCTGATAAGGCTGAGTGGATCATTTTGGCCTACAAGTTAGGGGGCCCCCTTTATTCTACCAACTTTAGTAACTTTAGTTAAGGGAAAACCCAATGTAGGGCCCTGATTACCCTACTTCTAACAGGGCTTCCCTACAAGTAGAAGCTCGTAGGCAAGACGTGCTGCCCCCAACGCGGGGACGCCTTGAATGGCAAACTTGTGCACTGTGAGCTCGCCGTGCCTCCTGCATCCTTTGCAAGCCTTTGCAACATTTCCAGACCTTGCATCTTACATCGACAAGGTTGGCTGCTCTGGAGGCGAGAACAAAGTCCGCGCGTGCTTTGCCTGCCTTGCACGGGCGCGGGAGTCGAAACCCCCACCCCCCCCCCCCAAAGGCTTGCTTAAACCCTGAACCCTAGACCCTCAACCCCACCGCGTCACTTGATGTCAGTACGGAAGAGGGACTGTAAATCCTCAACCCCACAACCGCAAAGGTTTAGGGTTTAGGGTTTAGGGTTTAGGGTTTAGGGTTTAGGGTTTAAGGTTTATTTTTGAAAGCTCCACATCTGGTCTCCGAGGCCTTGGATGCAGAGGGACAGTCGCTGCTTGTCTGGGGCAGCAGGCTCAGCACCACGAAAGGCAGCCTAGGCTTGCCTGTGTTAGGGTTTAGGGTTTAGGGTTTCGGGTTTAGGGTTTAGGGTTTAGGCCGGTTTAGGGAATAGGGTTTAGGGTTCAGGGTTGGGGTCTATCTTGGTATTTTCATGGTACCTTAATATGAGCCCTTGATTGGGGAACCCTGATATACCCTCTAAATACCCCGTAAAACCCAAGGGCGCATACTGCGGAGCCATTTCAAGAAGGTAAGGGTCCTCATGAAGGGACCATGTAGCTTCCCTTACTTGGAGGTTCAGGGTACTTGTAACCCCAGCTAGAGCTGCACTTGCAAGCCCCCTAAGTCCTCTGAGTAGGTTAAGAGTAGACATATAGTTGGGGTCAGAAGTGCCTGTGGCCCTAAACCCTAAACCCTAAACCCTAAACCCTAAACCCTAAACCCTAAACCCTAAACCCTAAACCCTAAACCCTAAACCCTAAATCGGGTCATCAGGCCCGTGTGACTCTACTCCCCCAGTTCCCCAAGCAGGGTTTAGAGGGTTGGTGTAAGAGGAAGCCAGGGTGCCCAGCTCCATCCGGGTTTAGGGTTTATGGTTTAGGGTTTAGGGTTTAGGATGTGGGGGGTTTAGGGTTGGGGACCTTGCAGGTCCGAAACCTGAAGCCCCTTGGGCTTTAGAATTTGGGACCCGGAAGGACGTCATTCAGGATTGTTCGGATTTGTCGTTGCTTTCCGCTCGTCCTTCCATCGAAGCGCTGTGGCATATGCAGATAATGAGAGGGGAGCCGGAGGGCAGGAGCCCTAAACCCTAAACCCTAAACCCTGAAAATGCAGCGGAGAAGCTTTCAGTGCGCAGCGTGAAGCAGGGCTTAGGGTCTAGGATTTCGGGTTTTAGGGTTCAGGGTTGAGGGTTTGAGCCCGGATGCGCAAGAGGGTTGAGGGTTTCGGTTTCGGTGCGGGATAAGCGGGAATTCAGGTTTACGGTTTCAGCTTAGGGTTTAGGGTTTAGGGTTTAGGGTTTAGGGTTTAGGGTTCCTTACATGGCAGCGGAGAGGTTGCTGGACATTTCGCAGCCTTTTGGTCCAAGTACAGCAGCCAACCTTGCGCAGGATCCCCCTCCACTCCACCCCCCTTTCCACATCTTGCGTCAGGAAACCCTACACCCTAACCCTAAACCCTAAACTCCAAACCCTAAACCCTAAACCCTAAACCCTAAACCCTAAACCCTAAACCCTAAACCCTAAACCCTAAACCCTAAACCCTAAACCCTAAACCCTAAACCCTAAACCCTAAACCCTAAACCCTAAACCCTAAACCCTAAACCCTAAACCCTAAACCCTAAGCCCTAGACCGCCCAGCGTGGTACACCAGACCCTGCCACAAGAGTCGCGCGGCCTAGCAGCATCGGCTCTGACTTTCTTGGGGCGCGATCGCCATGGAGCCTTTGGCTAGGGTTTAGGGTTTAGGGTTTAGGGTTTAGGGTTTAGGGTTTAGGGTTGAGGGTTCTGGGTTTAGGGTTGAGGGTTTGGCTTCCGATTCCGGCGATATGTTGGAAGTAGCTGCGCTTGGCGTGGTTTCGGCTTCCAAGAGGCACTCAAAGCAGTGCCACGTATAGCTACAGTAAGAGGCTCTAGATTCGCTAGAAGGGGTTTAGGGTTTAGGGCTTAGGGGGGGGAGATTCCGCAAAATCGGGGTGCAGTGACAGTGCTGGACAAGGGAGCGGTACTTCCAGGTGAGGCGCCCGTTTTTCGGAGAGATGGCCTCACCCCGAGGGTACCCTAAAGTTCTTATTGTTTTTGTAGGCCTACATCCATTGCTGCAGAGCCCGAAGCAAGCCAAAACTAAACTAAGACACGCTTGAGGCTGTTGGGTTTTGGAGAATGCGGGCAAGTCTGGTAGGGAGCTCAAGGTAGGCCGAAGACTGAAATAAGTAAACCCTAAACCCGAAACCCGCCCAAACCCTCCCAGACCTGCCATGTTTAGGGTTCAGGGGTCTGGGTTTAGGGTTTAGGGTTTCCCAACATTCAAAGCCCTTTCCCAATGTTTCAATCTGAGGGGGTTCCGCGCTCATGTTGTAAGGGTCTAGGACCCGGAGTAGGCCCGCATTTCCTTTTTTGAGGGTTGGGGGTCCCTTGTATAACCCCTTAGAACCAAAAAGTCCACCCCTTTTCTTCCTAGGTTCCTTCTGGGCCTAGGGCTTCAGCATTCGGGAGTGACAGTAGCAAGGCTCATTAAGAATCTTCCCCAGCCATGGTTTTCCTACAACATGCGCTGCTGAGACCCCAAGTTGAAGGAACCCTGTTTTTTTCTTTAGGGTTCAGGGTTTAGGGCAGTTTAGGGTTTAGGGTTTAGGGTTTAGGGTTTAGGGTTTAGGGTTTAGGGTTTAGACCCCAGGATTGGTAGCATGCACGCCTCAGGAGGACGTCCTCAGCGCCGAAGCCGTCGGTGACGCCGTGCGTGAGGCTGTGCGAAGCGTCGAGGTGATCGACGTGCACCTGGGATGTGACTTTCAGATGAAACCCTAAACCCTAAACCCTAAGCCCTAAACCCTAAACCCTAAACCCTAAACCCTAAACCCTAAACCCTAAACCCTCAACCCTCAACCCTCAACCCTCAACCCTCAACCCTAAACCCTAAACCCTAAACCCTAAACCCTAAACCCTAACCCCTAAACCCCTAAACCCTAAACCCTAAACCTTACTGACGCCAGCCACCCTCCCCCAAGCAACTTCAGCTTCCTTTTACCCAGGTATTCAGGCTTTGGGGGTTTAGGGTTTAGGGTTTAGGGTTAGGGTTTAGGGTTTAGGGTTTAGGGTTTAGGGTATAGGGTTTAGGGTTTAGGGTTTAGGGTTTAGGGTTTAGGGTAGGATTTTGGGTTTAGGGTTTAGGATTTGGGGTTTAGGGTTTGGGGTTTAGGATTGGTTCCTCAAACGAATCTTCTGTAGCAACCGACACGAGCCAGCGGAGGCACACGCACCTCCTGCCCTTCAGCTGCACCGAGGGTTTAGGGTTTAGGGTTTAGGGCTAAGGGCTTAGGGCTTCGGGTCCATGTCATTGTCTAAACCCGAAGCCAGCCCCGGACGAGTTGCTTGACAGTAGGAAATTGGGGCGCTTTTCTCTCATATTGGGTTTAGGAGCACTAAGCCGAAAACCCCAGTACCTAGTTTGGGAAGATACCCTTCCCTTGAACCCTAAACCCCAAACCCTAAACCCTGCACCCTAAACCCTAAGCCGCTTTGGAGGGGAAGGGCAGGTTCATTCGTTAGGGTTGAATGCATTTCCCTAAGATTTAGGGGTTAGGGTACCCGAAACCCCTAAACCCTAAGCCCTGAACCTCGTCATGATCGGCTCTGCGGTGGGTCGATTCAAGGTTCAGGGTTTTTGGTTGAGGGTTGAGGGTTTAGGGGTTTAGGGGTTTAGGGTTTAGGGTTTAGGGTTAGGGTTTAGGGTTTAGGGAGGTTTGAGGGTTTAGTTTAGGGTTTCGGCTTCGCCCTGCGGGCACTCTTAACCCTCCTACTCCTGCCTTCACCGCAATGTCCTGCCCAGCCGGGAGCAGCAAAAGTCCCGGAAGTAAACCCTGTACCCAAACCTTACACCCTAGAAACCTCGAAGCGCCTTATCAGCCCTAAACCCTAAACCCTCAAAAAAAGTCCTGTTAAACCCTCAAGCCTGCAAACTGATAAACGCCCCAACAGCCCTGAACTCTGGGTAGTTAGGGTTTGGGTTTAAGTTCCATGAGCCCCATGCCCTTCATGTGGCCCCTTACCTCCTTTAAAGGGTTCTGAAGTAAGGGCCCTTTGGTTGTATAGGGCATATACAGGGGCTAAACAAGGGGCCCCCCTTTTCAGGGCCCATACTAAGGGACCATGAAACTACCCCAAGATAGACCCTAAACCTAAGCCCTCTAAACCCTAAACCCTAAACCCCAAGCCCTAAACCCCAAGCCCTAAACCCTAAACCCTAAACCCTGAACCCCAAGAGGCCACCATCCCATGGCAAGCTGATGCTCTGGGGCATCGATGAGCTGTTGACCTACCATTACTTGGTGCGGCTTGGCACGCAGAAAAGGTCTATGAAACCCTCGAAATACCCCTCTCCCAAACCCTAAACCCAAAGCTCTAAACCCTAAACCCTAAACCCTAGGTTTTGCTACGAACCCCCCCCCCCCCCCCCCCCCCCCCCCCCCACGCGGAATCGAACGCCCATCTTGGGGTGGAGGGTTTTGAGGGCTTTTGGGGGGGTTGGGCCGAGCCGGCCCACGCTGGAGCCCGCAACCCCGAATAGGTTGATGGTGATCTCTATCCCTAAACCTTAGACATCCTAAACCCGAAGCCCTAGGATTGGTTATTCGATTTTTGGAGACAGTAGCGAGAAAACCTTATACACCCTAAACCCTGAATCCGAAACCCCAGACCC